CATTATCAGGACTAACTGTAATATTAATAAATATAATATAATGCAAAGATTGTCTTGAAATGGCTTTTTACCGGCCATGACAACAGGGCTGGCATTGTTTTCACCTTGTCATTTCGTGTGTATATTGCATTGTATTGTATTGTATAGCAGCTCCGCGTGAAATGCCACGGTATCGTAATTGGTGGACTAATCGACTATAAAATAGTCATTAAAAGGAAACATCTGAATACAGCCAAGCTACTGTAGCTGAATATTGATACAGTTTTAATGAGTGGTTTGAGTTGGTTAACTCTGTAACAGCGTTCAAATTTCAAATCAGCTAATCATAGCCGATCATAAGGCCATGTGCTATAGCTCTGATCATTTGCTGCAGCTAATGATCCATGTGACAAGGTGAGAGTCAGTGGTACAGGTCTGCGTACAGCAAAAATCAATATCAATTACACCTATATTGGAGAATTGTCAAAAGGTAAATGCCCAGGTGTCCGTATTTCACAAGCGTCAGCCAATCACTTTGTTTTCTGAAAGAACAACAACAAAAGACCTTCTGCTTTGTTGTCTCTAATTGCCCGTTACCCTTCGTATTGACAACTATACAAAGAAATTGCAGGCGCATTTGTTTAGTCATAATGCTGCATAACGGCATCTGAGAGGTTCTACTGCAGTTGCATTGCGCTTGGCAGGTTTTAGCGTCATGGGTCTACGCTGCACAGCTGGGCTTGATTTATGCCGCTGACAAGGCCGTTTCTCTCCAGCGCAGCGCACTGTGGGGAACCTCAGGAGGGACAGCCTTTCAATTTATCTCAGACAGCCCCTCCCCCTCCACAGCACTTCAGGGTTTTTAAAGCAGTCAAGAGCATAGATCCACACCTGAAGTCGAGTCCCACCCCATGTCCTGACTCAGAGGATGTTGTGACCTCGCCTCTTTCTCCGCAAACTCGCCACATTACAGGCCGTCGCCTCCAGCGCTGTTAGCAGCAACAATGACGTTTTGATACAATTATGATTAGAAACATCACCTGCAGGTAGGTCGATGATGGTCGGTGTGGATCGGAAAGAGTAACTCGCACATACACACACCTCACCTTATTTTTGAGCTTACCACGGCGGGCAAACACAATATCAAACACATCCCCTGCAGTACTTGCCTCTCCCATTTAGTGAACTGGTCTTTGGAAGTGAGTGTCTGCTGCAGTGGTGAGTTGAGCTGTCTGTGCACTGAGGCAATAATCTTTGTGTATAGAAGGCCTTAGCTGAGACTAATTATTTGGTGAAATCACCATAAGCATGTCACGATCTCTCTTCCTGTGGTCTCATGGCTGAGTAATTCCACTGATAGAATCTTAACCCCTGTTTTCACAAGCCGTTTTATTTACCCTATTAATTAAGTAGAGATGCATACACGCTTCCACCCTGCAGTCATGCTACCAATCAGCCAGCTGACAGTCACTGAGTATTCATGAAGGGCCCTGTTTAGAACCCTCAAATCAGAACCTGATCTATGATTACGCATATTGTTTGCATGTTTAATTTTTATGAGTGCCCCCCTATTCTTCGGCGTCATCAGAGTGTTTATGTAGAAAGAGAGCTAACATTTCACTATTTGAGTGTGAGGCTCCCGCTGCTGCCATTAGAAAGTCGCTCCACATCTTGGGCCCACACTTAGTTCAAAGCCGATGCTCTCAACGTGCAATTTTCTTGCCTTTTTTTCCGTGACTCATTATTTGGATTGTGACAGTTTCCTCTCACAGTGTAGAATTTATCAAACAGATCAAAGACAAAATATGTCTCAATGAAACATCAAACAGGCTTTCAAGTGGCTTTTTGATTGTGAGGAAGCTTACAAAAAGGCAATGTCTGCATCTGTTAACAGTGTCTCAAAGAGAATGTAAGGAAATAACAAAAAACAGGCTTTTACTTTGGACTAGGCTCTTTCCTGCGATTTCCACTTCACAGTGCCCGTGATAGCTGCTCTGTGACTGATGTTATTTGTCTCTTTCATCTTGTCACAGAGCGGGGAGGATCAACGCTGTACAGCCCCCCCGTCCTCAGAGGCTTGATCTCCCCCAAAATACACACCTGTGTTTTTTAGGATTACACGAGTGCATTTGGCCATCTCGCTGTGTTCAAAATAATTGCCTCCTTTTAGAGGAATTATTGCCATGTCCATTAAAGCCGTGTGAGGCACGGATGAAAAGAGTGGCACTTGTGTTCATCTCACCTGTGAATTATTGATACCTGCCCCTCTGCTGGCTTCCCCGGGATGGAGGTGGGAAATGTCTCCTCACATAATGGGCACACCACGCAGACATGATGTCTGGGCTGTGGCAGGGAAGAGGCAAGACAGGAGCAAAACTGAAATTTGTTAATAGTACGCCTCCATCTCTTATTCACCACTACCGTGCCCCAGTTGACTTCTGCTGTGTTCGACCTCATCTGCTCTTCCATTAGCTTCGAACTAAAATGATGAACACTCATGCTGACGCCCGGTCTGCTCCTCTTTCTGTGATGTTGGTGAAAGGGAAGTGTCTCCGCAGTCTCCACATGGAGGTACAAAATAAGGTAGACGGTGCAGTGAAGGGCCGAGAACAGTCTTGGCTCCACAGGAGGGCTGCAGAGGATTTCACTCTCTCTAAGAGCTATTGTGCTAATGTGCAGGACCACTTGTTCGCTCTCTGCTTCCTCGTTCAAGATGCATGGCCCACAAGTCACATGAGAGCTATTTTGTCCCTGGGGATAAGGGGATTGTGGATACACAGAACACGGTGCACAAATGCAGGTATTTAGTTATGTTGAGGTATTGCTGCGAGGCTTGTGCTGTCTGACTTGAACTGGGTCAGAGCTTGTTCTAGTTGAAATAGGTCTTACCATTTGTTTTCACTTTGATAATATCAGTCAATTACCTCCACTCATGTCGGTGTGTTTGTTTCTTTATTTGTCGGCAGGGTCACGAAAAAACGTAATAAACACTTTTGCACCAAACTTTGTATCATTGGCCAGGGAAGATTTCATCCATTCAATTGTTTTACATTTTCCTCAGTCTCTCAGGAAATGATGGATCTTGATGTAAATAAATACATGTATTTATGCTGTTGCCATCAATGCCTTTGTACAATTTGGTGCAGATCCAGATAATATTGTCATGCACAGGATTGCTTGACCTTGGCAGAGGTGTGCCCTCAACTGATTGTCACTCTTCTAGATAAGAACTGGTTGTATGGCAAAAATAATAATACTAAAAAAAGATAAAAGTATAGTAATGAAAAACCATTACATTCACATTCTCCTCTAGACAATGTAATTCATCAGACAACCTTTGCTGTATACACAGAGCACCAGCGATTCAATGTAATTAACGTATAGTAGTTGTTTTAATTGTGCTTACTCTGCTCAGGGTTATGGTCTGTTGTAGGACTGTGGTGCCATTAAATGGGCCATTTTCCGAAAATGTATCTGCCTCCAGGTTTTATGTCATTAACTGTGGGCCATCCCACACAGCGATGTGCCCCTCATGTAACTGATGGTCGTTGTTGGCTACTTTGCATTCAGCACTTTTTTTTTTTTTGTTTTAATCTCAGCCTCATATAAACCAAGAAGTCTCCACTCAGCAGCACCATGTGGTTTTAGAAGTAGATTTCCTTGTACTGTCTCTGCACTTTCTTATCACATCCACCACTTGAAGATGACTCGATGAAGACAGTGAAGCACTGGGAGAATATAACACTCTGTCAGACTGAATCAGCCGTTTTTCTCAAATAGACCCAGTTAAACAGGGGCAACTGGGGCAAACAGGAAAATACTTCATTGAAAACTGATGAACTGTTTTCTGCACCATGTGACATTGAGACTTCCACCAGGACATAGCACTTCTTTGTAGTTGCATTTCTAGTTACGTCATGAATGTAAATTCCAGATTAAATCTTCTTGTGGCTCTGTTTTGGTCTCTACCAACCCCTAAGGAGAATATTAGGCTCTTTAGCTGCTAAATGCTCCATATATCGATGAGTTGATCACTAACTTTGTCCGAACAGGGAGCAAATCAGAGAATTAGCTTGAAACAGACTCTGGCCCATTGTTCCAGAAAAAGAGTAAGTCTAAACCAGCACAGTCAAGTTGTGGGCCTCCAACACAATTACCAAACCAAAACAATAAGCTAAATGATGTATAAATGTCTAGCACGTTTTGTAATTAATATCTGTGATTTTAGCACATCGAGTGACACCTTCCACACTACACAGACTCATTTTCTTAATTTTGTATCTAAAAATGTCCACCAAAGTGCACATGCTCGCATACGTCTGCAATAAAACAGAGGTGCCTGTGTTTTTGTGCCAACTGTAATTGAAGAAAATAATATCTCCCCTTTAGTGAATTCTTTGGTTGCTTGAATCTCTAAAACGCTGTGTACCATCTAACGGTGGGTGAAACTGCTCACTGTGACTCCTTTGACTCAGTGGTGAACTCATCCATAGATGAACAGAGCAATTTACCGGCCACACATCATTTTCTCCCCTCACAATCAGGCTGACGCTGTTTCATATTTACAGTCTGCGGATTCAGCAGAGGATTTCAGATAATTAAAATTCAGCATACTTTGATGCGCGGTCCACCCTTGATTTCCCACAGTACCTTGGTTTCAAGGGCACAATTTCCATTTATGCTTGTTATTTAGAAAATGTCAAGGTTTGTTAAGGCCTTTTGACCTTTTTTTGAGGCACTTGTGGTGATTGTATAAAGGGCACGAATCCACTGTTGTCCTAGATATCTTGGAAGTCATGCGCTGAATTAATCATCCCTGAAAATACAATCATATTCCACATTGTTCTCATCTGCAAAGACCCATGACTTAATTAGAGACATTGAGAAATGTTCTCTGCTCTGTATTAGTCATTTTGCTGCTAAATCAGTCCCATGCCACTTAGTTAAACTTTGACACTGTATGCATACTAGCATCTTTCTGTTACAATTCAAGTATTTATTTGATTTTATTTTAACTACAGGGTTTCCATTCTGGACAACGGGAACCTTCGGGTATGGAACGCAACCAAATCCGATGCAGGCCTCTACACGTGTGTGGCGAGAAACCAGTTTGGCGTGGCGAGCAGCACAGGGAGCGTCACAGTCAAAGGTATTTCCTGTTCCCTCTTTACATTTCATCACTGTCTCCTTTACAGCTCAGTCAGCAGGGACCATGACCAGCAAAGTGATGGACACCTTTTTGAAATGCAGCTTTTTCACTCTGGCAGCATGTAGACTTACTTGATATTTCATTCTGCTCTATCAAAAACCAACCTGTGATGCTCAATTTCATAAATAAAAAATGACCAACATTGAGGAGAAGGACACTGATTTTGAAGCATCTGGCCACATTGTTACGTGGTTTGGTAAGTCGTGAGGAGGAGGATTTTTCCTCTGTCCTGTTATTACCAGACAGACACAGACACCTTGGTTATATGTCTGTTTTTTCAGAGGTGTTGAAAACACTCCTGCACTGGCAGAGGATCTCTGTGGAAAAAGGTCCAGTGTTGTTAGATCATCTGGGCTGGGGATTGCATTTCTGCTCTGGCGCTGTGACTTATTATACTTCATTAAAAATGAATGTGAGCTGGGTATAAATTGCTATGCATTGAGTGGCTTTATTCTGTGCACACTGCTGTTTTTCTGTCGTGTTTCCACAGGGGATAGTGTTCTCACCACCTTCCTGGTGTATTTGCTGACATATCCAGCGAACTATAGCCTCGCTGTGACCCCCCCCCTTTAACAGAGGTTGCACGGTTCATTTGTGTTATTGTTATTTATTCTGCCTTGATCTTCCTTGTTGGCTGGCTTGTACAGATTTATGGAATTATTGATCTCTTCCATACTGGCCTTAAGGAGGCGAAGTTCATGCTTCATATTTCAAACGGTTTGGTATAGATTTACATGCGCTGTATATTCCAATAGATTTTTGGAGCCTTCACATCCGATCTTCTTAGACAAATAAAATCGTCTGCCAGTGGATTCCTTCAGTGTCACTTCAAGCAGCATATTCTGAGATGGTAAGGCACACCCTGTGGGCAGGATCGCGCTGTGCAAATTCACTCAGAACCTGTTTTCACCTGCCTAAGAGAGAATATGGTTCGGTGTAACCACATGTGACCGTGCAGCACACTGACATCGTTTGCCTGTGCCGGTGTGAATCCCTCAGCTGGTAGGGAATGAACTACACAGGTCAAAAAAGAAAAACTAATAAAGTAGTGTCAAAATCCTTCCAATACCACAGACTATATGATGGGAAATGCGGTATGCTCTCCACAACTCTGTGAAGTCAAATCATTTTCTCCTGAAGATAGAGCTTCTCCTTCTTCTTCTCTAGTGTATGATTTTTGCTGAAGTTCAATCCATTTAATTGTCTTTCTTCTACAAAGTAGCGATCTGTAAAATCCCTTGAAATGCCGTGTCAACAGAACAGCGGTCTGCAAAAAAGTTGGACGTTTTTTTTCTTTTTCTTTTTCCGAGAGGTTGCTATAGAAACTTGGATTAATTGACTTATATTTGGCTCTGCAGGCAGGTATTTGATTGAATACTTTGCAAAACATAGATGAATGTCAATGTGAATAACACTAAGAGAAATGTCCTGGCGTGTATCTGCACAGTAATTTCTTTTCTACCAGTAAACCCATCACATGTTGGAATAAAAAAAACAGCTCTGTCTTCTGTAAATCACTATCAAGGCATGTTTCCTTTTTTTGTTGAATTATAAAAGACAGATTTCATCTATTATGAATGCTTGAAAGTCAGCAGCAGTCAAGAATGTGGGCAGGGCTCAAAGTGCACCTCGGTGCTGATTTATGCTGAATCCTCACTCTGCCTCCCATTGACAACTCCGGCTTTCTACAAATATAATCAGTAACCTTTGCATTTTGTATTTTTGCTTGTGTTTGTGTTCATTTTTAGCACAAAACTCGACTTTAAGGCAGAACGAAAAGCACATTTCGCTACTCTCTGCCTGTTGGACTCTGGAGCCCCTCCTTTTGCTCATTTATCACACACTGTGAAATGAAAATGGTACAGAGCCCCCCTCCCTCCCCCCAGCCAATCAGCATGAGTGGGGGGGCTGGAGAAACCTGCAGCTCTCACTGTAGGTTCAGGTCGATGGCCTGTATGTGATTTTCCAATCAAGCTGGAAGGAAACACACCCTCATATGTCCTCTCAGCATAAATAGATGATGCTGTTATCTACTTATTATTCTGGTGAAAGGGAATATGGGTTTTATTTGACACCCTCTCTTGCTCGCATCCTTTCCATCATCATAACTTAAAGCTGTTTTCTGCAGCTGATGTACAAATGTTCCCGTGTATGATCTTGTGCCTTTTTTGTCACAGTCAATACTGTTTGGAAAATAGGATGGGGTAATTTAAATGCGCTTTCTCATTGAGGATTGGAAGCCTGTTTAGCAAGGAGAAATTTGTGTCGCGCGAGCGGCTCTTATGGGAGATGACAGTAGTTTATATAAATCGACTGGTGATATGAATGCTGAAAAATACCTGTCAAAAAGCATTCAGCGCCTCCCGCTGTGGAAAATGCCACCTAGCAAACAACCGAGGTGCAGTCAACACAGATGAGCCCTGTTAATGTCTCCATTATTACAACACTGGGGGATATTAGCAGATTAATTGCAGTTGATTATAGACATGCTCGCTGATTTTGATTAAACTTGTGATGAGCTGTTGCAATTAGGGTAGTCTACTTGCATCCCATCATTACAGATGGTCAACAGGCTCAAAACTTCTGACATCACGTGTTCACTTCTTTCCTCTGTAAAACCCGGAGGGCAATTATCTTCCAGTGCTGTGACACTGCTCTGAGGTGTGTGTGGAACACAAGAAAGGAGCATTTTGTCAAAGAGGCCTCTGTATCATCTGGCATTTAAGATATTTGACGCTTACCCATGCCGCAATGGCAGCTTGACTCTAGAGATGACAAATACCTTTGTCCTCCATTTTCGTCCCGCCTGAAATATCCAAGCAACTATTGTACTGACTGCCATGACATTTTGTTCCGACATTAATGATGCACAGAGGATGAATTGTAACAACTTGGATGATCCCTTAACTTTTTAGGTGTCATCATCGGGTCAAAATTTAAATTTGGTTTATGACCACATATTGGCAAATGTGATGACATTCCCACAAGCCTCAGACGTACTTATGGTTTAGAGCTAATTAGCAAACGATACTATGCTAAGGTCACTCTACACTGGGGGAATTTGGGTGTATTTTGGCAACTGTGAAATATATATATGATATGGCAAAATATTTTAAATTATACTTTTGATACTTAAAACAGTCAATATGTAGGTTTGGTGACTAAATTCAGAAATTAAGTGCAAAGATTTAGGATCCAATTAGCAACAGTGTCACTGCTGTTAAGAAAAACTAAACAAGTAGAATATAGCACAAAATTATTGTTAAAGGTACAGTGTGTTGAATTTTGTGATATCTAGTGTTGAAATTGCATGTTGCAGCTGAACACTCCTCACCTCACCCTCCCCTTCCAAACATGAAAACTCATAAGGTGCTTAGTTTGTCCAGTCTGGACTAATGTCAAAAACATTATCTTACACACTGGACCTTTTAGGGAAAAATAACATACAGGCACACTTTTACACAAACAGGTTGAAGTTAAAATGAACATTGTGGGACTCAAAGAAGAAAGCTTTGTAGAACAAAAATTGGAACTGCGAAGATGGATGATCGGGGCTATTGTCCAGTCTCTATTCACTTTCAGACATTTTTTTTTCACATTCCTGACCTGCGATTCAGCAGAAATGAATCACACAATCTGACACTCCCAACACAAATTGATGAACATTAGGACTCAATTCCATGCATACAATTGACATGCAATAAACATGATTTTCACTCAGTAGAGCACATACCTCGGCCAAGGCCCAACAGTTGCACACTTTCATAATTAACACCCTATAACGCAATCTTAAAGAAAGTCAAAAGAAAACCCTGGATCTGTCGCCTGTTGCGGATCCGCACAAAGATTTTATGGGTCCTGTCTTGGGTCAAACCCCATCCCTCCACCAAATTTCATGGAAATCAATTTACAAACTAACATAGACAGAAAAAAAATCATAACTTCAATGGCAGAGGTAATAATTTGCATGGAGTCTATACGTACAGAACCTTACAGAGCCACTGTCATGACTGTACCCAGGCCACACTTGCTGCAGTTGCGCTGCGGAATGGCTTGCTTTTAATTTCCAAGCACATGTTAACAGATTAGAGCTGCCACACCGGCTGATGTTCAGCCCTGGTTCAGCCACGGAGGCCATGCTGTTCATCTAGAGATTAGAGGTCTTGACAATTGTTTCATGTTCTGAGCAATAGACAGTTTCAATGATTATCTGCTGAATATGTCACAAATCGCTTGTTTTTAAGAGGTTTTTATTGTGAAATATTTGCAGGAACAGAAGATGCACAGCCTCATACTGTATAGTACTGGTATTTATGTGAGTACCTATAACTACCTTTATACAACAAAATACAGTAGTAATACCATAAACTTCAGAAAGGCTGTAGTTATATTAAAAGTTAACATAAAGAACTTCAGGTGATGGGCAGTAGTCCCTCTCTCCCTCTCCCTCTCTCACACATAGGTAACTGATGCGCAACAGGTAAAAAAAATCTTGTCATCTCAGACCACTCCTGACAGATGAAAACAAAAGGTTGATGTACAATGACAATGTAGTAAAAATTCTATTATTTATCCATGCCATCCATATTTATCAATTTTCAAGGCAACCCTATGTAAAGACATAGTTCTGGAAAGAGCACCTCCACTGCAGAACCACGGCTGTACAGCTGGTGTGTAACAAACCACTGCGACATGAAGCCGTTCCTCATCACAACCAGGCGTTAGATTTGTTAAATGAGCAGGATTCTCTGTGATCACAGGAGATTTGGAGTCAGTCTGAAAAAATGGCCACCGATCAATCCTTTCAACAGTTTTTGTCTTTTGGAGGCTTTCACTCGCAGAGCGGAGAATTGGTTATGAAAATCTTTGCAGTTTTATATCTCTGGGATGTCTTTTTCCAAACTGGCCCTTTTGTCCATGTCGAATGGCAGGAACTATGTGAAATAAATGCAATGTGCAATACCTGAAAGCCATATAGAAAAATAATGAGCAGCCATCTGCCGGTGATCACCAGCAGGTGGCTACAGATGTGCTACTGCACAGCATACAAATACAGTATTGAGCATGTATCTGTTGAGTGATGTAAACAAGGTTTTTTCTATTGAAGTCTGTCCTTGAGAGGCCTTTGATTTATCATTCAGGAAATAAGTGATATTTGAAAAGAAGTGGCGGAGGAGCTTGTGATGTGCTGATGAAATCATTCTTCCTGGTTTGTTGATTTGAAAGCAAGAGAAGGTAGAATTGGTAGTGGAATGATTTCTTTTCATAACGGTCACCACATTTTTGTTCCAAAATGACCTGAGAGATTGCACCAAGAATTGAAGAGCTCTTTCAGCAGTGGGATAATGTTGGGATGTTACCTTCAGAAAAATGGCATGAACCGTAAACCATCAGATTCTGTAAACCCTTTTTAGAAAAGGCTTTTTTTTGACCTGCAAGAGAAAGCAAACATTTCCTTTAGAAGTTTGCATTTGTCTTGGATCTACATGCCTCCAGGGTCTCAGTTTGAAGGATTTCAAGGGTGAGACGGTTCTCTGGTAAATTTGTTTTAAAAATTCCTGGATCACGTGGCCTGTGGCTGTTCCATGCCCTCCTCTATGCATTATTCAAGCACACATCACTCACCTTGTGTGAAAATCTATAGTGTCTTTACACTCAAGGAAAATGCACGCTTACACATTACAGCTTTAGACCATTAAAACTGGGAGGGATTGTCCTCAGGGATTTGGGGGGGGGGAGTGGGGGTAAGCATTATTTATGATGGCTGATGTTTGTGGGAAGACTGGTGGAACTGGCCATGTGAGGCATGACAGTAGGCCTTGGAGAGGAGCTGGGAGTCATTTGGTAACTCTCTGGTCAACCATATGTTACTGTTGCACAGCGTCTCTGAGTGTTCCCACTGTGAACCTGTGTCAGTAAGTCATCTGATTGGCTTCATTACAGGTCTGTGGTCCCACACTTCCTTCAGTGCCTTTGCTCTAATAGGGTGAGTAGTGTTGTGATTGCTGTTGGTTCGAACAGATGTTGTATGAACAATAAAAGATTCATCCAGGATCACCAACAAACATCCACTAGACCTTATGTTTTTTTTCATTGCTGTATGAGTCATGTCCACATACAGAACAGTAGTTAATGCATAGGTATAGTTGCTATGTGATTGCAAGAGGTATTAGAGAGGAGGCGCAACAAATCTAAAACAGGAGACATCCTTCTTCCAACCTTTCCCATGACAACCAGCTCCTCTAACCTGAATCAAGTCATTTTCTAGGTATTTTTTCATCATGTTCAACACATATAATGAATATAACTGATCTCATTAACTGCTCTGATTAACAAATGCCAAGTGTGTATATTCACAGCTTGGTATAATTTAGTCTCTGTGCTTAAGACTTCTATTGTCCAAAACACATCAATAATGAAAATGTTAATTATGCTGTATTTTGTTTCATTCCCATGTATACCACTGTGCTCATGTCACCAGCGCATCAAATCTGCAAAAACTAAAAATGGTCTTCAGCAAATGCACTGTTTATGTTGTTTTGGCTCGACTGCAGCCCAATAAACGCAAATGTCACTGACTGAATGTTTGACAAATTGACTGAGAGATAAAGTTATACCAGTCGTCAGCTGAGTGCCGCTTGACTGACTGATAAAGTGGTCTGCCAGCCGAGAGTTAGATTTTCCTCAATGGTTGTTGCCCTTTCAAAATAAATAGGTGGAAACAGGTTTTACTACATCATCGGGGGGACATTAATAGGCAGTTTCACCACCGTAGCGTCTTTGAGACTCATTTCATGACTTTTTATCTAAGAAAAAGAAGCTAATGACAAATCTTGTAACTTTTTAGACAAAGCTGAGTCACTTCTGTAGAAGAGAGTTTCCATTATTGTCCTTCGAGTGCAAGGTCGGACTTTCCCAGGAACACCTCGCTGTGTCTAATTGAACTGACCACAAAGCAGCTGACATAAATATGAATCAGTTTTTAATTTATAATTTGATATTCTATCAGATGACGTTGCCATCACTGAGACTTGCAGACAACATTTTGTGGAGTACTGAGGCTGTTTTGTGAGCAGTGAGGGCCACAGATTGTGTTGGGATGTCAGAAAGTATCATAGATGGACTAAAGCACTGTTGATACAGGTCCCTTCATGGCATTCATTCAGTAAAATGTAGAATATCGCTAACATCGTAATATTCTTTGCTTTTCTCCATGATCTTTAACAAACCTTAACCACTTTGTTGCCTAAACATAACTTGAATGAGAACTTCTTCTCATGTGACAAAGTCATGACGTTATAGAATCTGTAGATCTGGAAGCTTCTGGTTCACCTTACCAGTTTGTCCACGTTTGAAGAGGTTTTGGTTGGCTACAGGTAAACTGTAAATCTGTTAATAGAGATTAACCAAAATTTCATCTTCATCAAAAACACCTACTAAAAGTCTTACTGTTTGTGTTTTATGTAGAGAAACATTGGACTCGTGATAAAAAGAAAGTAGCCTAGCAGGACTGTAAACAGTGTACGGTGAACCAGATATCACCTGTCAACACCAGAAGCCCCAAAATATTGGCCTTTGCAACTATGGGGTACATTTTGATAGATAATAGCCAACAGCTCCAAGATTGTTGATAACCGGTTGATAATTAATTCTTCTTTTGCTTGTTCTTACTTATTTTAGAGTGATGATCTGCTCAAAAATGTATTATACAATCAAGCACAACCACTCTAAAATATAATCTGCTTTTGGAAAGATTTTCCTCTGAGGTAATTCTATTGCTTCAAATCACTTCATCTCTGTCGACAGTTTTTCATGACAGTAAACATAAACGGAGTTCAGAGACTAAAGATACAAACTTGGCTGTTTCAGCCTCAGTGAGGGAGCAAATCATTATCATGTGTACAAAAATGTACATAAAATGTATGCAGAAATGCATATAATTATTTAGTTCATGACACATTGGTTTGACAAGTTTGATTGATTTATCGTCAGTTATTGACGTTCAACATTGAAATGTGAGGGCGTCTGTGGAGAGAGCGCTTTTGAAATTTTCTGCCTCGTAAGTACAAACTGAAAAATGCCAATACGGGTTTGACCCACCTCAGCAGCACTCCCCGAGATGCCACCCGGTCTGTCCGAACATGTTAACACACGCTCCATCATGTCTCTGATTGACCCGCTAAGTGAGGAGGTTCCTATCCTCTTGTTTACAGTGGCAGTAGGTAACAAGGCCTTTATACAAGATGGAAAGCAATCAAATTATGGTCAAGAGCCCAGTGTGTGGTTGTGTAACCAGCCTCCCTTGTCCATATAATCTGTCACAAATGATGACAGACGAGGGTAATAAGGGAGCGTGTTCCCACACTCATTGTCTGAGTGAATCCCTGGAGGCAACATGAGCCCGGACTGAATCGGCAGGAAGAGGTCATGTTTGAAAATGCACCAACCCTGCTGGAGAAATAAGAAAGGCAACAAATGTTTATAGTGTGTCTCCATCTTGCAAGAGATGCAGGAGTAAATATTTTTGACTGCAGGTCCATGTAAGAATTTCCCTGTAGATCCTTCCTCACCCTTTTGTTTTCTCAGACTTCCTTCTCCTCACATCATTTAGAGCAACTCTCTCACCATGAAAACCACTGCAAAACAGCTCTGACACAGAGAAGATTGTGGGGTTTTTTTGCTCTCCGGTTTTCAGGTTTCCTATTTCTTCCTGCACTTGTTCTACAAGGTGGAGCCCGCCTTTAGAAATAGAGCAGGGAGAGGAGACGCAGACCCTTGAATACCTCCTGTGTGGCATTACGACGTTTTTACTGCGCCGCGATTGCTAACCATTTAACCCCAGCAATAGAGGAATGGGCCTTTCAGACACACTTTCATTGTGTATGTGACAAAACCCAGCAGCTGATAGCATTCTGGCTTGATATCTGAAAAACGACTAGATAAATCACATGGGGAGCGTTTGGTAGTGGATCAGAGTGTGTATGTGTGTGTGTTTCAGGGGGGACAGGGGCCAATACAATGAAGGTATCGAATTCACTCTGGATGAAGACTGCACTGCCGGCACTTTCTACATGAATCTATGTCTGTCCAGGAATCATTTGCCATGGTTAATTTAGTCTGTGTGCACAGAGAGGCAATTTCAACCAAGTAATCACAGCACCCCCAAGAGGGAGATATAGGTTGCACACTCTGAGAACAAAGCCTCTGCCTCTCATTTCGCCTGTCTCGTGTCCTTCTACCCTTCTTTCCTCCGCTGCTCACACACAAGTGCAGATAAGGGGGACTTGCCTTATTCCCATGTGATGCCATTGTAATGCGCTGCAGGCTTGAAAAGAGAGTAGTGACTGGAAGAAGTGCTCACTGCTGTTTACTGTTTTCCTGCTGGTGCGTTTTGGGAATTTTAGGTCTATTGGGGGGAGTTCCAGGCTGAAGGCAGAGCTGACAGTGACACATGGAGGCTTCTCAGGATGCAGGAGAGACACGTCTCAGAGTCCCCACAGAGACGAGCTCAGGCCGAAACTAATACCAGTTATTGTAGCTGTGCGCCCTAGTTTGCAGTGTGCGCTGTCCCGAATATCCTTCTATTAACTGAGTCTGACATATCCATAAGGATGATGGAAGGGCTTGGCTTTTTGTAAAGCCATTTCCTGTACTGAATTATAATGCCTGGCAAAGGGGAGCGGAACAGCGTGTTTGATCAAATGTGGATGGATGTGAACGTGTGTTTCAGAGCCGACCATCATCACCACCCAGCCGTCCACGCTGGACATCACCGTGGGGGAGAGCGTGGTCCTGCCCTGTCAAGTGAATCACGACCCGTCTCTGGAGCTCAAGTTCACCTGGTTCTTCAACGAGCAGCTCATCCACTTTGGGAGCCATGGTGGATTTTTTGAAAAAGTGGGAGGTGTAAGTACATAATAATGATAATAATAAGTCCCCATGTTTTCTAAGAATGTATGAGTTTATCAGACCTCTGATTTGTAAACAATGCAGCTGTCATGTTGTGAGAGATGTGCACACAGCCCGACACATCGTCTCAATGTCATGATTTACAAATACAAACATTTTCACTATTTAGAGGTCAAAGGTATAACATTGTTAACACTGTTAGTCAGTTAGCCAGTACTTGATCACAATCATCCATCGCTGTTTGGTGCGTAACATGAATAAAACTTTTATAAATGATCTCATCCATGAACGTAACAGTTCCGGCTGAAATACTAACAAATGGTGAGAGAAGTGACTGAGACAGCACAAAGTAGGTCCTACAGAGAATTGAACTGTGTCTCACACCAACAACAGACTGTATCGGTCAAAGGCCTCTAGTAAAAGTACCATAAGCATTGACAAATAAAGGTAACATTAACATGATCATTTAATTTAATGAAAATCATGTATATATTGTAGTGGATACAGGTGATAGACTGAATTCACCAAGGACTGTTGATTTGGTTTACACTGTATTTGATTTGCACTATGTGGTTTGCACTATTACTCCTGTAAGGAGCTGTGGGGTTACCATGGTAACAAGCGTACCGGAGGGGTTAAAAGCGGATGTTTTGCTGACACCCAGAAGTTCACTGTGGCATCAGTTGTCACTCAAACAGCCCAAACAAGATCATTGAAAGAGACCATAGATGGCTGTTTATTAATTGAAATGAAAGTATTACAATTAATAATTTGTGATTACATCACCAAGTTCCTCTCTAAAGTAAATGCACATCAAATTGATCAGCTAGTCATTGATCATGGAGCTTGACATTCTTTTTCATTTGTTATTAACTCATAATAACATGATTAGACAAGATAAGATGATACACTGTAGCACAAAATGAAAAATGTAAGTAAGAATAAAAAATAATAATAATAATAGAAATACTATTTAAAATAAAATAGAACAACTATGTATACCGGTCGAGGCAGATTGAGTCTGGTTTTAAAGGTTTCTTCTCTCCACATTCACCAAAGTGCTGCTCATTGTGGGAGCTGTTGAGCTTCTCCATAATATTAAGATCTTGACCATCTGAATTGAAGTGAATTATATGTAAGGCTTTTTCTGATATGCAACATAAGGATAAGGATGCAGGTTGTGTAATTGTGCACAAAATTCTTTGTAATATACAATATGTACATCAGTTGTCTTATATCTTAGAACTGGTGTTTCTCCCCCTTCCCGGTTTCAATACAACATTGTCCAGCACCTTATTAAAATCCATATGCTGCGACTAACTATACTGTCTGAGCTAATGAGATTTCCTTCTGGGAATATTGAACAGTTTTCACACATTACTTTTCGGATTCCCACAACACCTCATATTGATTTCTGCTGGAGTTCTCACTCAGTACAGATTGTCTTCCTCATCTCACACTGTTGTCATTCAGAAACCTGTAAAGGGCTTTCACATCACCATTTTTCAGATGACCTGTATTACATGATAAGTCATAATGAGACTGGCCTTGTTGCAGTGTGTTGTCGAAGGCTCATTTTTATTAGTACCTCTGTGCTCTTTAGACATTGATTTATTTTGCCGCCCCCTTCAGAGATTTTATTGAATAAAGGTCAAGAGGTGACTCTGAAGATTCATTGATACGTCAGTGTTATACTTCTTCCTTTCGCAGGGTCATAACAAATTCAGCCGCAGTGCAGAGGGAATGTTTGTATCAAGTGTATTATTTATGGCTAGAAAATTGCTGCCTGTGGTTTATTTTAAAATGAAATTTACATACACACTCTGCAACCAGTCTCAGTCAGCCGCTGTATACTTTAAAAAGGTTCGCAGCTTACAACTCAGCACGTGTTACGCAGGCTTAATTTTCACCTAAGAGATATTCAAGGCTTCCTCAAGAACTGCCGACATGACGAGAAAAAAAAAAGGGAGGTGTCCTTCCTGTTTCTTTTACGAGTTAGGTGCTTCTTGTACCATAATTTACAGTCTCATCTTCCAAATAAATTGCTTTACATCTGCACTTACATTGATTAAGCCAGCAGCTGCTCCACAGAATTCTTACTGCCATTGTGCCACAGCTTTTCTGCCAAAAAATGTATAACAAGAACCTGCTCTGCTCTAATGGAATGATAATGCAGGAGTGGGAATTGCAATTATAGATGGAATAAAAAGCTGCTTAAGAGAAATACCTATCATCGTACCTAACATTAGGGCTGCACGTACATCTGAATCAGCTCTACGCCGCAATCAGAATTAAACTGCAGTATTTCAGCAAGCACATTTCTGTATTTACAGGGACAACATGAAAGCATGGCGTGTGCCCAGGACACAGAGTCATTGCTTTTTTTTAGAATATAGACGAAGTGGCTCATTGGGGGAAATATGGATTTACTTTTCAACACATACAAGAAAATGAGCTTTCTGTTCAGCTGGTTTTGTTCCCATGTGGCTGGAAAGTCAGTATTGTTCTTGAATCACAATAGCTGGAGGCTCACCTTGTGTGTGCATGTGTGTGTGTATGTGTGTGTGTGTGTGTGTGTGTGCATGTGATGAATAACAGCAGCATTCAGCAGGAGACATTATGATTCGAAACATCCAGCTGAGGCATGCTGGGAAGTACACGTGCGCCGTGCAAACGAAGGTGGACAGTATTTCCATCGCCGTTGACTTGGTTGTCAGAGGTAAGCTCCAACAGTGAACATCTCATGGACGTGCATCCGTTCAAAATAAATACTGACCACATATATTTAAGCCGATAGTAATGTCAGTCATTTCAGAAAGCTTAAATATCCCATAATGTATCCACTGCGGTGAGAGTTTTTAGTAATTCCTGTTTACTGTGACTGGAATGTATATTATGATTTTTTGCTATACAAATTATATTGAATTGGCTGAGCCTCGTTGATGAAGAAATAAAGGAATAGAATGAAAATGGAGGCAAATAGAATTTTCTCTCCTGAAAGTTGAAGGGAAATTTAGTGTCTAATTAGACCGAATAGCTCCCAAAGGTTTCACACACACTGAACTGACTACATTAGCCGCAGGTGCTAAAACCACCGCCACTCTCTCCACCATATTTCCATCTCTTCCTGATTTACATACCCTCCCCCTCCTTCTCCCTAATCTTCTTCCCTCCTCCGTCTGTCTCTCCATCTCTTCTCTCACCTCTTTCCTGCCTGGCTATGCCATCTATCAGGTCCCCCGGGGCCTCCCACCAGCATCCAAGTAGAAGAAATCAGCGATACCACAGCTTCTCTGTCCTGGAGGCCTGGTCCTGATAATCACAGTCCAATTACGGCATATACAATCCAGGCCAGGACACCATTTTCCCTCGGGTGGCAGGCTGTCACCACAGGTAAGCTCTCTCCAACCAGGCATGGCCTCCTCCAATCACATGGAGGGGGCTACTCTCCTCTCTGCCTCGCCTGTGAGAATATTGGAGATGTAATTTTTACCCCAGCACCAAATGGTACGCAATTGCAGCGTGACCGTTGACCGCCATTTTATCGGACTCCTGGGAATGCTGAAACATGGATTCCGTCCTTATGATGAAAATTGTTGCCAGGGCTGTAATTTGATAGTGTCATTAAGTGATAGCATCGGTGTAATTTTTCCCCACATCCTCCTTAATGGGACCCTTAGCATTCATGCATGATTGCTATAATGTGCTTTTATCCTGCACTGTATACCCTGTTCTATTGATATTTCCATGAATTAAGGACAGTTTGATGGAAGATGGTTTTACTGCTCTTATTGATTTACTTTGTCAAGATCATACACTTGAAACAGAACTACATGTTGACCTTCCTCTAAAGAGGAAATTGTTTTTTTGTTCATTTTTACTTGAATTAGCCACATTTCTTTTCTATATTTTGTGCATGGCCAAAAAAGCGGCGTTACCGTTGACATTTTATTAAGTAATTCAAACAATATTGCCAAAATAATAACTTAATTGTCAGTGCATGTCCTCACACATGATTGTGTTTTTTTGTTTAATGAGTTTGTGTGTGCATTATGTGTCGTTGTGAGGGATAACACATGTACCATGTAATCTGTGGGAGAGTCCTACCAGGCCTGTCATCCTGGAGGACAGTCTGCTACACACAGACACACACAAAGTTTTGTCTTTACACTGAAGGGGGCTCTGTGTGTTTTATGCTAGTTCCTGAGGTGGTGGGGGGGAACCGGCTGACAGCTACAGTAATAGACCTGAGCCCTTGGGTGGAGTATGAGTATCGAGTTCTGGCAAGCAACACCATCGGGACCGGCGAGCCCAGCAAGCCATCCAAACAAGCAAGGACGAAGGGGACCTGTATGTACTGCATGAGCAGAAAGATGCTTCCTTATGCCTCTTGCAAAACACGTTGTTTGTTCTTTCCTTATAAAATACATGTGATGTTTGAGAATTGTCTTTTTTTTTGAATAGTTAGGAATAGACGTGTTTGTACTTGCTGAGTTCTTTTTGAGGCAAACATGACCTGAGTATTTTCTTTTTTGTCTTTTCAAGTATAGCTCAAACTTTGTTTTCTTGCAAAGACTCAAATGAGAAGATTTATACTCTCATGTTCCTCTGTAAAATGTTATGCCACATCCGGGAGAGGTTAGCTTAGCAGAAAGACTGGAAAGAGGAGCAAACTAAGATGACAAAATCCCCCTTAAAAGCAAATTAAATCTACAGTGTTTGGATTCTAATAAAAAATATTTCTGGCACATAACCTGAAGCCACAACTTGTTTTACACTTTGGGTTGTGTGACATGTTATTTGGATTTTAATTGGGTTTTGTTTCCTCTGGATATAGCTTAACTTACCATAAAACTGGAAATGTGCTTCATGTTTGGTTTTGAGAGTTGGTTAAATCTTTTCATCTCACTCGACAATTGGAGTTAACCCAGAATGCAATGTGTCGAATAAGGCCTTGACTGTAGTAGCCATGTATTGTGATCCTGGGTTATAAAGTTCCTATCAATTTGGAAAAATACAAACCATGTCTAAAAAAGCAGCAGCTCAAAGTCTACCCAGAGAAAGCAGGTTCCACCAAGGTTATATCCTTTGTGTCTCTTAGTCCCATCTGACTCAGCTGTGAGAGCTTAGCTGATATCTGACAGGAGTCCTGAATGCTGAAGTTCAAACACGTCAAAAAGAAGTTGCCTCTCTGCCATTTGGGAGTAGCCACATGGAAGGTGATCACATGTGCCTCCTCAGTGTTGTGTTCTAGTCAACAGAGCTAAGCAGATCTGTCTTCTTCCTCCAGCTCCGAAGGTCACATCGGCTAATGTGAGCGGAGGCGGTGGCAGTCGCTCCGAATTAGTCATCACATGGGAGGTAAGCGAGCTCGCTCAGGACCCCCTCACCCATGGAGGAAGGAGCCAGGCGTCATTATTCTCTGTGGATGTGGGCCCCTGTTTCATTAATAACAGCTGAGCAGCTTAATGTATGGCATTTCATTTTTAAGAACAGAGAGGCAATAACTGCTGCTGTCACCCTGGGGGAGAGAAAAATGCTTTTGAGGTTTCAATAAGATAATTAAACTCAATGGCTCCTTCCAAGTCCCAACTTTTTTCAGATTGCTTTCTTTCTTTCTTTCTTTCTTTCTTTCTTTCTTTCTCTCTTTCTTTCTTTCTCTCTTTCTTTCTTTCTCTCTTTCTTTCTTTCTCTCTTTCTTTCTTTCACTGCCTATCAATCAAGAAACATTTGTATTTATTTAGGCGGCTCTAAATCATCAGCCCCTGCTGTGAAGCGTTTCAGAGGATCACTGTTGATGTTTCAATATGCACAAGTTCAATTAAAGTATTACTTGTGCCGAACAAAGCCCTGAAAACTCCTCAGGCATTTTCCTTTGGAAATAAAAGCATGGATAGGATGTTTTATTTTCAGCTTTGGCTTAAACAAAAGCCAAATTGTGTGTAGACCAATTCTACTGTCACGGCAGGTGTAAATCACAGCTTACTTCCAGATCAGAGGTGAAAACTAGAATTAAAGTCTAAACCGGATGAGTCTGTTGTTCTCAGTGTATCTGTAGTGGCGCTTAAAAAGTAACCTTTGTCCAGAGGGTGAATGTGTTTGTTAAAATTCTCTTAACCTCTTCAATTCCATTGGGTTGCCAGCGACAAGGTGGACATTACAGACACTAATGACATAGCATTTTGAAAATACATTTTTGAAAATATGTACAAGCTATACATCATTAAAATGTGTATAAGTTTGGCTAAACACCCATGGCAACCATTCTCACCTAAACCAAACACAATTCAAACACTAAGCAACTAAATCAGCATGTTGAAAAACACACTGACTGAACACATCCACAATCATGCTAACACAAGTGATGTATTTCTTATCTTTCTATGATGAAAACTCACTGAACCAGTCGCAACAAAGAGCAAAGTAAATTTGGAGATCATGCTTATTCATAACTCTGCTAAATCCTCTCTCACTTTCTATCTGCTTCACTTTATTGAAATTAAATCTGGCAGCGGCAGTGTTCAGATGTTGTGCTGTGGTTTGCTCGAGGTTTTGGCTTCATCTGCATGAATTCAGATACAGATATTCTCTGTAGTTTTAGTTGGTCATGATATCTTTCATTTATGTTGTGTTCCATTTTCCTTTACTCTCTAGTAACATCTATACTGTACTGCTTACACCTCTGCAGGAATTTTACAAGTGTTACCTTTAAATAGATACCACGGTTATTTATTTAGACCCTGTGGTTACAGAGATATACTCTGTTACATTTGGGCATGTTCTTTTTCGAGCAGGGGCTTACAAAAAGGCTTGTGTCTTCATTCACATGCATGACAAGTACCAAGCTGTCCTGTGCAGAGAGTAACTAACTGACATCTTCACATCGTGTCGTCCTGCAGCCTGTTCCAGAGGAGCTGCAGAATGGCCCAGGGTTTGGCTACGTTGTTGCTTTCCGGCCCCACGGTGCAACGGGGTGGATGCAGGCGGCCGTACCGTCGGCCGAGGCGTCAAGATACATCTTTAAAAATGAGAGCATCCAGCCCTTCTCGCCTTTCCATGTTAAGGTCGGGGTTTACAACAACGAGGGTGAGGGGCCCTTTGGAGCCGTTACCACTATCTACTCAGCTGAAGAAGGTGGGTGTGATTTTATGTCAAACACAGCACAAGCTCTCCACGCAGAGATTGTGTTAATGCATGAGCTACAAGTCATCTTGGAGCCAGCGCTCTACTTTCAGAACTTGCAGATGTCCTCCCTCACACTTACCTCTCTCTGTTGTTAAGATGAAAGAAATGACTTTGAAGCAGTTGTGATGTTCCTGCTTTGAGGAAGTCATCAAAAGCTCTGTGTTACCTCTGAAAATCATTCTGAGTCTTTATGCATTTACTCCAGAGCCTGGCCGGGCGCCCACCAGGATTCGTGCCAAGAGCCTCTCTGCGTCCGAAATTGAAGTTTCATGGAAAGCTCTGCCCTGGAATGCCAGCAAGAAGAGAGTGCTGGGCTACGAGGTGAGTTTCACAAAAAAGTCTTGTTTGTGTGCATCTCCATTGGATGCAAATCTGTTTGTGTGAGCACATGGCAACTAATGCGGTTGAATCTTGTTCTCCTCTATTATTGATGGGTTTTTCAGGCTTATGCACCTTGGGCATAGGAGATAATAGCTTACTGCATGCATAATGGTCCAGCCCAGTCCCTTGCCTGTGGGTTTAGTTGTGTTTCTCTTGTTGCTTACCTAAGTACTGTAACCACCCTGATTACTGATGCAATACTCCAAGGGATAGAGCATTTAGCAGCTAATCCACACAGGAAGGCAGTTTGAGACAGTGGCTTTGCACTCAGTTAGTTCTTGTAGTTTTAATTCCGCTCATTACTGAAATCCAAGATGTGAACAAAAGCGCTCTTTTCATCCTTGTATTGCATAAAGTGCCAGAATTATAAATAGTTGACCACTGAAAGTCAATAGAGGAGCAGGGCCTGAGCAAACCATCCCTGTGAGGAAAGACAAATTATATTTGTGCTGTCAAGCGTGCCAGCTATTTCAGCCTTGACAAGCAGGGTGACAGAGAAAATCTGTTATCAGTGGAAGTTGATGGCAGGGGATTTTTGAGGATTCTCTTCTTCCCTTTCTTTGTTTTTCTTTTTTTTCCTCTTCTGCATGTTTGACCTCCTTCTTTACCATATAACTGTACTGTATCTCTTCATGAGTGAAAGGTACATGAGGTGACATGCTGCTGCTAAAGCATTACTTTTAGACAATGCTAAAGCATTGATTTCAGACCAGTTCACATCTTCCATCCAGTGGAGTTCACATTTCCCCGTTTCCAGTTGGCACTTCATTGAAAGGGGTGTAAAGCTTTTAAGGTGTCTGTGGTGTTTTTTTGCTCTCACATCTGTAATTCTTCCCTGTCCCCTTCCAGCTGAGGTACTGGAATAGAAGTGGGGAAGACACGGCCAGCGTGCAAAGGACGGTGGGAAATCAAACGTCTACTATTATCCAAGGGGTAAAAGGCAGCACCACATATTACATCTCAGTGAGGGCATATAACACTGCTGGAACAGGGCCTCCCAGCGCCACTGTCAACGTTACCACTAAAAAACCACGTAAGTATCAGATGTAATTATAAGTATAGCAGTCACTCTCTGCCAGTGTTCAGCTTTTGTTTGAGGTGAATAATGTGTTTTCTCCTCTCAGCGCCCAGTCAGCCACCGGTTAAAGTCATGTGGAACACATCAAACTCCAAGATCATATTGAACTGGGAGCAGGTCAAAGCCCTGGAGAATGAGTCAGAGGTCACTGGTTACAAAGTAAGCACACAGTCACCAGGCTTTATCAGAAAATTGTGTTTGTAGCAGGAGCCTTCTGTGCCTGAATCCTGACTCAACCCAAAACATTCGTCCTCAGGTGCTCTACAAGAAGAACCGACACAGCCGTCCCAGTGTCATGGAAACCAATACCACGTCCGTGGAGCTCGCCCTGCCCACTGATGAGGATTATATCGTCCAGATAAAACCATTTGGAGAGGGAGGGGAAGGCAGCAGTAGCAGGCAGATCACCATCCCAAGGATACCAGGTCAGTGGAGAGCTAGTTAGTGCCTCCCCTGTGGTTGAGCGGAATAATCCACTCCCCCGCGGCTGTCTTGCCTGAACAGATTAGCTATCATCATCACCAAAGGAACAGGGAGAGCAGGAAAATAACATGCTACATGAAGCATTGGTGCAATTACGGCCTCTATGTGACACCATAAACGAGGTGTTGGATGAAAGTTTGAGCAGTTTATTTAAAATACTATGAAAATCTCTTTCCACAGCTCGAGTATCAACTCTCAAATATTTTTTGAATTGCATGGGTTTTCAGCTCATGATTAGTAAAGCAGGCTGGAGAGGCGGCTGATTAATGAAATGAAATGTCACATGATGCTTTATTTTTTCCCAGTTTCTTTTCTCAGCAATCAGACTAACAGCCTTGTTCTTTTCAATAACTTTTCAGGCCCCAACGCAGTCGGCTCAGCGTCCAAGGTCTCAACTCTGTCAGCGCTCAGTACAATAGCACTGTCTTTCACTGCTCGGACATCTTTATGACAAACGGCTCCCAGCAGGCATTGCTTCTGATGTGGAGACAGCTCCTCCGCAGAATGCAAACACAATCCACTCTGGATCCATTCATTTAGATTTTAGAGGCAGAAAGAAGATGCTGATGATGAAAAAAAGAAAAAAAAAAAAAAAAATTGCTATTGAGATGTCAGGGAAGGAGTCCCCTTCAGCACCCAGGCTAAGTAAAGGAAAATCGGCCCATGTTGTGACTATGTTGTTACCAAAGCAGCTTTCATAAGAAAAAAGGTAAAGAGAAAAAATGTCTTATATGCATCTTTTTGTATGACATGTTGAGCTTTTATAGATTTTGTTTTTCTTAATAAATCGAAGTCCGGGCCCATGGGACGAGAACAGTTAGGCGCATGGCAAATTAAATCATCCAATTCTCCAGTCTCGAGCTTAAGAATGTGATTTGACAGTGAACCTTTTGTCTACTACAGTAAGGTTAGACCTGTACCTTTGGTTGTAAAAGACCAGAGTAGTGAGTTTTGTTTTTTTCTTTTTCAAGTGAATGAGCTGTTCCCTGTTACATCTCTGCATTTCTGTTTCTGCCCTATTTCACTCAAAGGACTGCACTGGGTTTGTCATCATCGGTCATCTTATGTAAAAAGAGGATAAGCATCTAAATTCATGTCTCCAGGCGGCACATGCTAATGTTAGTCAGGCAGCCAAAGCAAGATTTTTTTCTTTTTATGTGTCATGAATCTACAGAAAATGCAGCAAAAAAACAATATTTGTCTGTTAGGCATTAGGATGCCGTATATTTGGCATCAGTCCTCTGGCTTAAGTTGACGAAGACATCCCCAAAAAGTTGATGAAGTCCTAAAAGCCACTCATGCGTCCGTCACAGACCTTTGAACCAGACATAGCACCATGCTGTCATGGAGACCATCGCCCCCTTGGTTCCTTTACCTTAGACGTGGAACTGCACTAGTGGCCGGCCAGACCCTTGTGGCCGTATCATGCTCCTCATTCTTTTCGGTTAGCCCTGTGTCTAGAGCTATTCTTTGCCTTCTGTGTGCCTCATCATATGTTCAAAATCCTCAGGTCCTTCAAGAGCCTTAACTTATCACATGTATATCGAAAAACATTAGACGCATAGACTTATGAAGCAGCCGCGGTGATGTTTACATGCTGCTGTGTCGATAGAACCTGTCCGTGGTCAGCATTGGGTTGGGGGGGTAGGGGGGGCGGCATTCTAAGATTAGTCTTAATGGCGTTCTGCTGTTTCGCATGGGATATTGGTGATATATGAGGCCTGGAGCATTTTTATAGGTGTGTGTTCTTAATAAAAAGACAATGCTGCTGATCTTTTTTCCTTTTTCCATAGTGTCCTGATGCCATGTGGGACTGCTGTAGTAGTTTGTAGTACTTTGAAGGGAAGTGTACTGTAGGCTACTGGGTCTTGCTCGGAATCATGCATCAAGAAACGTGTAATATACTGTTTTGTACACTTCAAATCATTTATATAAAAGAACCTTTCTAAAGAGATGATTTACTTGGTTTTTATGTAATAACTCTTGTTTCATACAGTAGCTGTAACTGTTGCTCAGCATGACTGTACTTTTCCTCTCTCCTCTGTCCATCATGTAAACCGACTGAATGGCTTCGGGAACATGCCAGGTTCATGCATCTGATCCGTGTATACTGTGTGTGCACCATGAAACTGACCCATAGTCAGCCCTGTGTCTATATGCTTCTGTCTCAGTCAGCCCCTCTCAGATGCACTAGGCCTACCGTCCATATATGCTCTTCATGAGGGTCTCCTCTGTTGCTGTTTGTTGTTTATACTGTGTTAATAAAGATTATTGATTTATACAATGATGCAGAACTCTGTGGGTCCTTCTCAACACATAAACGTCCATGTAGTCTAAATACACTCACTGGCCACTTTAATAGGTACACCCAACATTTTCTAAGTTTCTAATATTCTTTCAGTTCAACATCACTGCAAACCTCTAATAAATATAAAGTTAGATAAATATTACCATGACACACATTATCTTTGTTGGTAGAATTTATGGCTGAGCTGTTACTATGTCGTTTAAGATTTGACCACAGTATAAAATGTATTTTAAATGGTGCAAGTTCATAATGAAATCAAGTGATAACGTTTTGCACTAAATAACAGATTAGTCAAAATCAAAGCATCAGTTAACGAGATATCCTGACTTCTGGCCACTTTTATGGTTCAATTGCCAATAACACCCAAGCCTACATTTCCCATAATTCAATTTTACGGATCTTTTATGCTTATATATGTTGAGTGAAACAGGAAATGCACTAGGTGGCACTAAGAGCACACAAATACCATTAGCCTGTACCATAGTGACACAGGCTGAATTCTAACACAAGATGGCAGTGCAGCGCCACCACTCATTCCTCTATCAGAGAGGAAATGTGATGAATTATCAGCGTATGAAAATGTTTCAATCACACAGATTAAAAAAACATTCTCCAAAGTATTCCACATGAAATGCCACAGAATCAGAGACAGTGTTTGATTCATACTGAGACATTTATTTATGCATGTATGTTTTCCATTTAGGCTGAATGCAAATACAGCAAATACACACCACCAAGCACTAGGGGAATGTAGAGCAAAAGGCAGTGGAGAGTTGAAGGTGGAGGTTACAGGTGGAGCAGTTTGATGCTCTTCAAGGAAAAAAAAAAAATTTAAAAAATGCTTCTTAAAAAGAAATAAATTAAGCTAATTTCAATAATGGGCACTGTGCTGGTTTTCTACGTTAACTGGGCCAATACATGTTTTCATCTCATGATGTATGAACAGCCCAGATTCAGAGAGTTGACTCCTCCACTGCACTCAGTGTCACTTTCTTATCAAGACTCTAATTCACTCTCAGGACGGCTCCTGCTCACCTCGGACTGACAGCAGAGGTCGTCTCCACATCTGCCTCACGGTGATTAACAGCACTTTCAGCCGAGCACTGACTCCCAACATAAGGCACCCGCTCATGTGACGTTTCTGTCTCTGCTGTCCTTCAGCTTTTTACTTTCACTGCCTCATCCCTTGAACCTCCCAACACATCCCTACTCAGTTTCTACATACTTTACAGGATATACACACAAGTATGGATATTTATATAGAAATGTATATAAGTACAGGTCCTCCATCCTTCAACCCACCACCTCACCCACAGTGCACCACTTCAATCCTGATGGCTACAGGTGTTTCTCTTCCATTGTATGTCTAGTATAGGCCGTTTTATTTACCCCCCCCCCCACACAGTTTACAGTATATGTGCTGCTATCGTGGGAAGCTAGTGCCCTCACAACAGTCCAGTGTCATTAGACAAGATCAAATAAAATAGAGCAAAAAGTTGAATATACATCAGTTTGGGAATCTCTTGTTTCCGCAGACACATCAACAGCAGGTCGACAGTTTCCAGTGAGGGGATGGGGGGGATTAGACGAGGAGGGCGACAAAGCCATGGGAAGCCAAGTGTTGGAGAAGCTCCTTTGAATATCACTAACTCTGTTATAGGTTTTGGTTACGCCTTCGGTTCGCATGACAAGTTCACAGTTTTCTCCCTTTAGAGGACTCGGGATAAGAGTAATGGCTGCTTATTGCAATTCTCACAAGCAGTGCGCCTCACTGCTGCAGGGGTTAACAGTAGCACAAAGTTAACAATGACAGCAACACGGCTAACAGGCTCCATCACAGAGAGAATCCTCTCATGTATGATAAGTGATGCATAGTACAGTATTAAAGGTCATCCAGGATATATATGACCGACAGCAGGCCCTGTGGATTTAAATCGTGTGTGTCGGTCTACGAGTCTCGGCTTTGTCTGCGAGGGAAACGAGGAGGAAAAGCACAGGCCTCACACTCACCACTCCTATAAATACAATTACAAACTCATACAGCATAACTTAAAAAGAGTTAATCCAACAGAACAACAACAAAACAATAACCCATGTTAATCTTGTTGTACTGAACGTTTCAGGAAGTGTTTGTGAACGTGCACGTTAAAAACTGGAGAATCTTTTTTTCTTAATATTGCTAAACAGATGTTTGATGCATCAATGTGGGCAAATAACAAATTATAACAGATTCAAGGTATGGAATTGATGCTGGTATTGATTATCAATAGGGATATTAGTAAGATTTGGAATCTTCAGGCACAGCTACGTGACCAGATGTGTGTCCTCTAATTCACTGGATTTCTCTTAAATGCATCACAATTTCCCAGTCTAATAAACTCGAATGACTTTGCTTATGTTTCCATTGACTTCTAGCAAAGTTGTCGGACAAAACACTAGAGGGGACTTGAATTATCAGTGATGTTGTCCGCAGGTTCACAGACGACTGAAACGTCCAAAAGGATAAGAAAAACTCACTTTCTTTGTGGAAGTCATTGAAATCAAGTAGGAAAACATCATCACATTTCTGAAACTTATCAGATGAAACATTATTCATATTAAAATTTCTCTACAAATCTTTATGAGTGTGCCTAAAACGTGCGCCCAGCGTTTCTTAATGTTGAAGGCGAGTTGACCCCGAAATGAAAACTGTAACAGAGAGGTGGCGGAAAAACGGAGCGAGGACAGCAATGATCGCGTGTTGGAGTCTGAGCCCGAAGAGGACTCCTAGCTGTCCATTAATCCGTCCTCATGTTCCTCAGTAAAGTCCGTCAACATTAGTTCAGTGTCCACCAGCATTTTATGTTTTACAATTTCTCCCCAGACGCTCGTCACGTCAGAGCTGTGTCCATGTTTTTTTTTTCATTCCCTCGGCTATTTTCTGTATTGAATCATGCAGATTATAATCATCTGGTATTATACATATTTCATAAACAAGCAAACACTGGACATAAATTAGATTCTCTATAGATAAAAATGTAAAAAGCTAATAAGACAGCTGTTGATTATACTGAAGGTGTCACAGCCAAGAGGTGGCGACATCGAGCTAAGAGGCTGCCATTTGCAACTCGGCACCAACCTCGGCAACCCACCCCCCCATCACCAGCACTGCCCCTCTATACTTTCACCCAATCATCCCCTCCTCATATATACATTTCATATGTGACAGTAGCACAGAGAAGAAATTTGACTTTAAAATAGAAAGACTTTTTTTTAAGGGAAGGAAAAAGGGGCCATGGAGTTTGGGGGTAAAAAGTCAAATTATCTAAAATGATCCTGAGGGTTCACATGAGTCAAAAACGTGTTAGATTAAATAATATGCAAGTAAAGTTTCATACAATGACTCTAATTAGAGGTGAAATCAAATTACAGCTGTGAATGGTGTTGTTCTTTCAGTTCCATCACTCGCAAACTATCCAGTAGAAGACGTTTCCTGTTCTGTAGGGAGGTGGAGGGATGGGACGGGGTGGCCCAGGAGGCCAGGTCACAGTTGGTTTGTCTAAAGGGACAGGAGTGAAGCTGACTGCCTCACGGGAAGGCAGTCTGTTCTTGTGTCGGTGTGTCCACAGTGGGGTAGATAGTCCTCTTGGTGGCGTACTGCAAGGTGGGGCAGGAGACACACACACAGCTGGAGGATCCCTCTTGTGTCTCCCCGTCTCAGGGGCCATCACTACCTATCAGGACTGCGATGAGACAACATAAGATCAGTCATCAATCATTCATTCTATCAAATCTTATTTGTATAGCCCATATTCACAAACCACAATTTAAAACAAATAAGCATCGACGGATTTGCTTCTCTATGATGCACAAACTCTCTTGTCAGTAGTGTTGTATCTCTGCAGTCATTTTATGTCTCTGTTGTTTTTTTTAATATCCCTGTAAATATTGCACAAGCAGAGTAATCTTGTAACACATCTTGCACTGATCACATGAGCAGACAGACACACCTCTGCCTTCTGCTGCACATCCTCAGTAGGTGACTCTGTTTCCCTGATGACCACTGCTTTCGTCACCAGCATGTCGGGGTGCTGCTGCTTGGCCTCCTGGATCGCCATGGCGAGGGCCTGGGGACACGAAGCATCGGCACATGGGTCATAAACTTTACACATTGGCTCCTTGTTTTGTGGATGACTGTACATCGGGGGCCTGTACTGCAGTGTTTCTGTGCTGCCCCTCTCACCTGATGTTGGTCCACATCATCGTCTCCTGTGATGATAATCCTTTTCTCGATTCTGGTCTCTGAGTAGCCTCCTTTCACAGTCTGCAGAACACACAAAGAAACAAATGAACTGAATGACTCATAAGCTTAATCCCTGTGATGAACAATTCTGATTTGTCATTATTTTAATAATATTCTTATTTCTAACTTAGTTGAAAAAATCTTTTGACTGTGGTGTTTCTTTCAGAAGCATCGAAATAATCTTTTGACTGGATCATTTCTCAGTGACGTTGTATTTACAAAATTCTATTTGTACTCATGCAAAGCCTGCTGGGATTTCTAACATTGCAGCAGTGCACTTTGTAGCAAATAAATGTAAAATGTATTTATTATTTATAAGTCTATAAAAAGTCAGTCCCTTTTATTTGCCTACAGATGTGGTGACTCCAAGACCCTGGTGTGAAACTGTAAGCATGAGAACAGTTAAACTGTTACCTTGGTGACTTGAGTTGTGGTTGCCGAGGTGACGTTCTCAGCGGTGATGGTCAGTGGGGACACGACGGACTCCCTCCCCTGGGGGCTGGCTTTAACCTGCAGCGTAATTATTAGAGCGGAGTCACACACATGAACAGACACAGCATGTGCTTTACTCTGATGCTTACAAATGGGAATGTGTGTGTAAACACTGTTGTTAGCATCGCTCTGGACAATCAGCTCATTTTACACTCTGACAACATTATAGAGGTTTTCAGGTTCACTAACACACAGCTATAGCAGGGGGGGGGGGTATATAGCGCTTTTCCCATCTTATCCACCACCCATTCATACTATGTATCATACTTATTCTATTGCCCACCATTCACACAGCTGTCAGGAGCAATATGGGGTTCAATGTCTTGCCCAAGGACACTTCGGCAAACGGAGGAGAGACCAGGTATTGAATCACCTCTACGTCCTGAGCCACAGTCGCCCATGTGCAATGTGGTAAAAACCCTTGGACACAATAGTTGTCATGATGTGTGTCGGACACTTCCTCAGTCTTTATACACCAAGAAGAAATGTCTGAGTGATACAACTACCCCTCCACTAAAGGGATACTTGAGTGTATTTGTGAACTCACATTAAGTTTAGAGTGATTCACAGAGGCTGTGTTATTGGCATACAGGTGTAAGGGTCAAATTCCAACTCCATATTCCATAAAAGGACACTTTTGCAGTTTGTTATGTGGATTTTTCCTTTGAAACATTGCTCGTTCATACATTCTTTGTTTTATAAAACTGAGTCATTATCACTGAATGTCAGTATTGGGGCAATTAAATCATTTTGGTATTTGGCCCACACAGATGGATCAGCCTGCAGATACATTCCTCTCTAACAATATTCATTTAAGCTTTTCCAGAGGGACATCAAGTAAAGGTCAGTGCTTGAAAAGAAGAGCAGGGACAGCACAATGACTGGAGTTTCTTATTCTGCCACCACCACCTCCCACACGCACACTGTCATACTGATGTATTCACTCAATAAAGACACCTACAGGGGAGCCATTTTCTTTAAGGGCAGCAGGAGCCTCCAGTGGACTGACGGCTCCATAGTTCTGAAGGACAAAGAGAAACAGAATTGAGGATTATACTCAAAGTATTTGATCATTTCAAAATATCAAGTATGTGTTTATTAAACAGATTAATCAGGTGATCATATAAAGAACTCTAATGAAATCTGCCATCAATCTTATTCAAAGAAAAACAGACGGCAACTATTTTCATACAGAAAATATAACACAAGCTGGTTAGTATTCCTATTCATACAATATATTGAGCCTCACAGCAAATCAGTGTCACGCAGTTACAGACACCCAACAGATGTAATATGTCGCCCTCTGCTGGACTAACGAGGACAGTGACGAAATCTTTGTCTGCCTAAAGATGACGTCATCTTCCATTTATTGCACACACGCAAACACACACACACACACACACACACACACACACACACACACACACACTTTAACCTAGTATTACCCTGACCCACTGCCTTCAACTTGAAATTTAATGATTGACATTAATCATGATTTGCTTCTTGTACATATAATGTGACAGTGTAAACAGATTCAGGTCCCCACAACAATAATACTAGTAACCCCACACACACACACACACACACACACACACTGTGCTGTGTCTGCATGACTTCAGAGGACATTACATCAGTTGTGTCGCGGTTCAGGAGCAGTGGGCTGCATTGACCGTGAAGGCCGAAACAAAATGAGACAATCTGGTCTACAGAGAATTTTTTTGTTTTGTGTCACCAGTTTGCACCACCCTTACTGCCGTCGCCTAGCACACAACGAACAAGTACCTGTATGAATGTGTGTGGAATGGGTGAATGGCAAAACTGCACAGTAAAGCTCTTGGAGTGGTCATTAAGTTGAGATCAACTTGGAGAAGCCTTCTAAATGGGACAGCCTAGTCGCAACGCTGTGACACAATCAGTCTAGAGGCTGAGACACAACTACTGACTCACATTCATTTCCTGGACACCATAACTATTATTTGCCTGACAGACACAAACAATGACCTAAACCTAACCCTAACCATAAAACATGTCTTCAGCTTAAAATGGTACTTACATTATGATGACTTGCTTTTTGTCTCCATAAGGAAGACATCCCATAACAGTAATACTATAATACCAAGACGACACCAACACACACACACACACACACACGTCTGTGGCTCTCGCACTGACATCTATGAAAATTCGACTCAACACCGCTCTAGCACTTCAAAGGCCTCCTCTCTTCATCATTGATTGAGTTCATCCACACCATTAGCTGAGCGGCTAAAGAACCCGGCCATGATTACATTTTAATAAGGCACCGGTGGGACGGCCAGAAAGCACTCAAATCTTTGCCTCCAAAGATGAATGGAATTCACACCTGCTTTCATCATCCTCATTAATTCGCTGTCAATACTTAAATCACCCCATAATGATGCAATTATGTCATCTGTGTCTGGGGAAAATGGCCGCTGTGTCACTGAAGCCAAACGCAAATGCTTTCTCCTCTAATCGAAGTCCAGAGCTCTGCAGAGATATTAGCGTCTTCACTGTAAGTCCATTTGTTAAGTGACTGATGAGACCGATCCTATGATGAGTGTTGTCCTCACATGACTTTTCTACAAATATTTTCAGTCAAGATATAAACTGGTGGATTACAAGCTGAGACTCAAAGAAACAGGCAAATCACAAACATACAGTTGAATAGTATAAATCCAACACTGTATAAAGGATTTAAAAATGATCAAGATGCATAATAAAGAAGTTTGACGACATGGGAGAGTTAGACAAAAAAACTAATACTACTTAGTTAGTTAACTATAGCATAAAGAGTGGAAACAAGGGGAAATAGCTAGCCTGTTGCTGTCCAAAAAAAAGCTAAATCCACCTACCAACACCAATTAAAGGTGTGTATAAGATTTAGGTGAAAGGGATCTATTACTAAATATAAAAATGATCCTAGTGATGTTTTCACTAGTGTGTAATCATCAAAATTGTACAAATTGTTGTTTTCTTCACGTAAGAAAGGGCCTTTCTACGGAGGCCATGTTTTTTTTTGTCATTTCTATTAGATGCTTTCTAGGAAATATTTTAAATTTCTTACATATTGTGTTTGTTTACCTGTGAGGAGGCGTTGACAGTGTTGGGATGGACCTCTGATCCATTCGTTTGTGTCTCAGTCTTGGAGTCGGTCCTCTTCAGCATATGGGCCACGCTCACAGCACTGGCGTCTTTCTTTGCCACGGGAGGCTGTGAGAGACACAGACAATACAGCAACGTCAAACAGCATCAAGCTATTGTTTTTCACAGCAAGACCTCAGAAGAACTTGACATGTTATGTATGAGCAGCATATTTTTCAAAACAAAAGTATTTGAATCCAACTGACTTGAAAGAAACAAATGCTGAAATACATTTTTTATTGGATTGTTCCAGTTGATGACAAAATGCAAATAGTGCAGCTGCTGCTGCAGGGGAATTCACAGAAACAATTGTGCAACTGGCAGATATAAAATGGGTGAAAAATGTAAATGTATGCATCAACAAAGAGAATAAAACATGTGAACAAAAGTAACCATGAACAAAATACAACTGAATTCAAGCAATGGGAAATGGTCCAAGGAAAATAACAAATAAATATAAAATAAATAGGAGGTAGTTATGGCATCGAGTCCAACCAAGCAGGGTGAATCCAGTGGGTGATGGTGATGAAGGATGAGCACGTTCATCTGTCTACCTCATGATGTGTTGCTGCCTCAGGAAGCTTCTCCTCTATGGGAGACTTGTCGCGGGAGCCCATCAGACGGGCAGAGTAGAACCTGGAGGTCTCCTCAAAGTCCTCCCGGCCCACCTCGGGTTGTCGCTCCCTCTCTCCCAGCTCCGACATGCCTTTAGAGAAGTCCTCCACACCAGAGTGGAGATCCGTGATGATGGTGAAGTCAACCTCAGCCTCAAGGCTAGAGGTGGAGCTGACCGTCATGCTAGAGCACTTCCGCTCGATGCCCAGGTGGCTTTCCCTCATGCAGGCCACAGTGTCACGCTCCTGCTCTTCATCAGGGGCTAAGCCCGGCTGGGGCCTCCTGTCCCCAAATTCCCTCTGGGTACAGACACAGGATTACAAATCTAACATGACTGTAGGATGATGAAGATGGCACATGGAACAGGATGAAAGCAACATCCTTGTGTTTACAGGAAGTGTGTTCCATGGGTTTCTTGGTGGATCCCAAATGAAAGAAGTTGTATTATACATGCAATATATCCAAAACAATAGAAATTGCATGCAGTCATCATGTGAGGGACTGGGATGAAAAGTAGGGGGACGACCCACCTAAAATTATAAAATACATTCTATCAAAACCTTCCTATCCTTTAGGTTGTCACCTGCCAGCCTGATAACTTATAATCTATTCAGCTCAACTTCTATGCTTTAGTTACTTCTGACTCAGTAGGCAACATGACTCTAGAAGCATTCAAATAAAACACAGTAAAAAAGTAAGTTTGAAACCAACTCTGTTTTAAAGGGTCATAAGCCAAATAGAGCTGAGAGCCATAGAATTACAATGAAGCCACTGAGGCATCCAGTCGACAGCAAAACCACTTACATTAATTACAAGTACACTTGCTAATTAGATCACAGTAAAGACTGGATCATGCCAGCTACAGCCAAGCACAAGGGATTCTGTTTTTCAACCCACACATTCACTTCAAATTCATCATAGTGATGGATGAGGGCCACTGAGTAGCCAGTAAAAAGTATCACACTCCATCCTTTATGGCTTTTGGCTATTTCTTTGTATACTTTGTCAGGACAAACTGGTGCAGACAGATAGGAGGCAGGCAGTGAAGAAAAGAGATGGTGGTGTGGAGAAGAGGACGTGGTTAAAACACAAAATAATTACCTTAAAATCAGCAAATGCTTCTAACCCTAACCACTAACCCTAACTTTGAGGGATGCACAGGGGTGAGGAGTTGATGGTGTGGAGAGGAGGAAGGCGGGTTTAATTACAAATGAATAACCTTGAAATCAGCAAACGGCTCTTCATAAATGGCAGGAGTGGAGACAGGCTCCTGCAGAGGGAAGCAGAGGAGAGAGCAGAAAGAGCATCCGAGGGTTAAAACAAGCAGATGTGGACAGTGGACTAACAGGCCATCACACAGAAATCAGAGCAGCAGAGCTTGAAAGAGGCCAGGAACACATGAGCTTAGTTTGTTCTGAGTACAAACTGGGATCCTGGTGTACTGCTCGTGAGAGTCCAAATGTGAGTACAGCCAAACTGTGCTGACATTTTGCTCAAAGAGGCTCATAATCAGGATTTTCAATGTTGCAATAACTGAAACCCAAGTCGAAAGAAGGCAGATACAGATCCTGTCAGGTCCCAATGGAATCAGGCCCAGATTTCAAGCACTACTCTACAGCCAAGAAGCATACAACAACAGGACAGCAAAGAGGTGAGCTTACTTCAACAAAAACAACATACATAGCCAGGTTCATTTGTTAGAATTAGCAGTGGCAGGACAAAAGAATCATGCAATTTGTAGGATGAGCAGGTTTTCAGCATAGCAGCAGCCACCCGTCGACTAACTGAGAATGTGTTGCAACACTAAACACCTTGAATTTCAACAAGAACGTATCGAAATGTTGTGGAATGATGTTGTTAAATGTCCAATAAAAGATGCGTTGCGGAGCCTGCCAAAGGGGGTCCACATGTTGTGAGCCGCCTAATATTTTTCCCCACACTCACCAAGTTCAATCAGATCTTGATATGATTGTTACTCGCCAGTGAGGTACATTCACACACTGAGAGCTAAGCAACACCCCCTCTCATGCCTGTTTAATCCAATATGAGCAAGAGCTTGACTCAGATGAAAAGGTGGGAAATGATGAAAGCTGTCAGGTCTATGTAGTTGAAATTCCTTTCATTCCAGTGCCCAACGTGTGCAGGCTCCTAATGATACCAACAGTGAAATGAAAGAAGCAAATCTGACTGTCAGGCACTGAGCTGTGGTGTGTGGCTGCTCATTGCCTGATGGGGGTTTCTCAGTAAGGGAAACCAGTGTGTTTCCAACACAGCTTAGCTTTCTATCCAGGTGGGACTGGGGTAGAATAATGCAACTGATTTATGATTTATTATCACCAATCTGAAGAATCAAGTGACACTGTAAATTCTGTTGAGGAAAGTTGATCAGATTGATGGAGTTTCTCAATAATTTGAGTGCAATCCAATTCTTCACTCCATTTGTTTCTAATTTTGAGATCATAGCCGTCTTTAAGACGGTAATGGATTGCAGTAAATTTCCACCTTTCTTCCTCAGATGAGTGATTTAATTGTAACATTAGCATGCAATAAATCTGTTTCATATTTTCAGTTTGAAAATGGCATGGAGACTGGCAAAAATCATCAGAGCGATGATGATATGTGAGCCTTCTTTCCTTGCCACACTCCGACAGAGAGCAACGTGAGCTGGAAGGAAATTTGCGGCTCACACGTTAAACACACGTGAAGACAAACCAACAACCAAAACATGAGATATTGATTTTTGTCTTTTTTTTTTTTTTTTTTACTTTCACAGCCAGTGGTGAGCTGTAGAGATTTGCGAGACAGTGAGGTGCACGTTAAGGGCAATAGGAGGGGAGACATTGAGGTTGCCATTGAGAGAAATGTCCAAACTTTTTGATTGATTTTTGCCACAAGACGGAGCAAAAGTACTGCTCCGCCTGCTCTTCACACAGGCACGACAGGTAAGATGGATGAGTGTTTAAAGTCACTGAAAACGTAGAAAAAAAGAATAATGGCGTGCGAGTCTGTCTGAAGCTCATGCGATGCTTTACTTCCAATGACTGAATACAGATGCCAAGCAGAGTTACCGAGTGTCTCTTCTTGGCTGCATCCAGGCCCGGCTCCCTGCCAGCATTGCGACTGTTCCGCAGTATCAGTCCGGACTCCCTGGCCTTCTGTGTTTTCACTGGCGGGGCTGGGGGAGCCATTTTGGGAAGCGCTGAAATCTTTGAGCCGAACGACTGACTCTCGGTCGGCCCTCTACCAAACTGATAGCTGTCGTCATGTTGATCTGTTTTAGCAGTACCCTCCAGATCTGCTGCAAATGCTGAATGCAAGGTGGAGACATCAGTCCAGTTGAGGTCTGTGGATCCCTCCGGAGAGCCGACCGACCAGCGGTATTCTCTTCTGGTGATCCGAGTTAGTTCGTCCTGTCCTGTCCTGTCCCTTTCATCCTTACATGCGATGCTCTTTGACCGCTCTGGCTTAAGAGGAACAATCCTGGTGATTTCTGACTGGTAGCTGCTGCTTGACAGTCGGTGGAGAGATGTCCTCTGACCTTTCTCTCCCAAGAACCCTTCAATATCCTCTGCCCCAGAACTACTGATCTTCCTCTCGTGTGTTCTGACCTGTCGCAGTTTTACCTCTGCTAGCTCTTTATTGTCAATAAGGCCCTTCCCTCGCACCTTCATCACACATTCTCCTTTAACACTTGCTAATGAACTATCAAGTTCTATCTTTCCAGGTCCGTTCACTGACCCTGAATCAATATCTGTTGCTCCAACCTGACTGACTTTTTTTCTCTTGACCTGCTCTGCATCTTCAGTAGAGACCTCTCTGCTTTCTTCTACTGAGATCTCCTCCAGTTTGGTGTCTTTGTAGACCCTGACTGACTGATTCTTTCCTGATCCCTCATCATCTTTCTTCACCACCACCGGGGATGATTCACAATGATTTCCTGTTTGAAACATTTTGTCTGGACTACTGTCCGAGTTTGAGCCTTCATTCTCTTCTTCACTAGAATCACTGCCTGCTTTCCTGTAGATGAGCTCCACAGGCATTCCCAGGTTTAAGCTCTGGGGTCTCCTCTTTTTCCTTTGTTTGGAAGATGTGCGTTCCTTTATCTGGCACGAGCTTGGGGCCACATCGCTGTCTGCCTCAGGGTCCGAGGCGTGAGATGGTTTACTTTGAGATTTGTCTTGAAACAAGTCTGCATTCTCAGATGATTGAATCACGAAACGACCTTTGTTGGTCGTCCAAGATTCCGAGCATACATCTGCCTCACTGGACAATTTTGTTTCATCGATATGGCTTTTCATTCCTCTTCTGTCAAACCCTGTCACCTCTTTATGTATCATCTTGGCAACATCTATCTCTTTTTCCAGCTCCTTTTTCTCCCATGAGGAATCCAATGTGAGAGATTTGTTCCTTTCTTCTGCCTTCCAGTCATGGTCTGGTTGATAAGTTTCTTGTTTTTCAATCAATACCCACTCCTCAGAGCCCTACATGTTGGTATAGATTAAACACAGTTAGATATGCCAGGCACAGCTGCTGTAGATAATGAAATCTACACAATCATTTGAATCACAGAAAAGGTGATCAGGTAAACATGCATTTGCATTTAGGAGGTAACTGCATCATGAAAGAGGAAGAGTGAGAGATTTGCAACCTCAGGTGAAGTCACCACAGTCTTCTGGACGAAACCCTCAACAGACAGGCTGTTGACAGGGTCCTGTCCAACTGATCGACCCACCAACTGGCCGACACGACGCAGAGGAGAGGGTTTAAGAGAGAAGGAAGAACAGGTGTTAGAACTCAGACACAAACTGAAAGAGTGAATTAGTGAGGTGAACCACTGCATGCAGAGAGGAGGGAAAAGAGAAACAGCAGTAAGAATCAGCACAGACGGGAGTTAACAGAGTTATTCAGTTAAAACTTTTTAATGAACTTCAAACTGAGATCAGGCCCGTGTACCTGACAGCCACCAAATCCACAGAACCAAATCAGCATGTATTTGCATTGCAAATACATATTTTTTCTGTAACTACATCAAAGAGCTGGGTTTGTATGAATGCCTGGGAAATAGTCACAAGCACGAATACTGTGATTGTTAGTCAGAAAGACTCACAATCTTCTCTCTCTCTAACTCTCTCTGGAATTAGACACACAGCGGATTGTCTTTTCACAAAGTTTTACACACTATGGACATAATCTAATAATGGAATCTAATCATCACCAACAACAGATAAGAGATTGTCTGAAGACAACTTCAGCACCAACGAGAACATGAAACTCCAGAATGTGCCGTATTTTCAAAATCCAAATACTAAAATGTGATCAAAAGCTGATCCGGAAAAAAGAAAACTTTGGCGAGGAGTTGGAAAAAAAGAAGATAACTGATAATCATTCCTCAAGTACCTCACACTGAGTGGATCTGAAAAACATCTTGAAAGGCATCTCATTGAGATGTTTACTTCTGTGCTCAGTCATCTTCACGTTCCTCTGAGATATTGACAGACTTGTTATGGTGCACCAGAGACAGGAAGAATGCACATCATTACAAACGCATCTTAAAATAAACTGCAGGTTTTTATGTTTGTTCCTGTTCCAGCATTGTGTTTTCACAGGAGATTATCTGTTTGAACTGCTTATGAGAAAACACTGATAAAGATCAAATAACCACAATTATCTTCACTAATGTTCACTTGCCATTTTTTACAGTCATAGCGTTACAATTTATCTTCAAACTTGACATTTTCAAAGACAATAATTAAAGGATACAAAATAAAAAAAACAATTCTGCTTTTCCTCGAGTCAAAAAAAAAAAAGGAACTCTAAATGTCAGCTGCCAGACAGGAACAGCAATGGCCTTAAATGGAATGTCAAGCATCAGAGGTTTCTAGATTTGAGATATTGACATAGCGGACCTTGACGCACACAGATCCCCAACCCCACCCCAACCCCCAGCCCGACTCACAGCCTTCTTCTCTGGTGTGCTGGTCGGGGAGGTTGAAGACAGACGCTTCTCACGGTTCATCAGCTTGCTGTTGGGTTCCCTCAGGGCTCTCTTCAGCTCATTGATGCTGGCCTGGTGCTTCAGCAAGACGTCCTGAGACTTGTCCAGGAACTGCAGGAGGAAAAACATGAGGGTAAGAGAAAATGCAGCCAACAGCAGGACATCGACATCCTTTTCATTAGAACGTGTTTCATTTTCATCTTATATGCATTAACTAACAAGATGTGAGGTACAATATACAAATACACAGGAGAGGACACGTCATGGGAACTGCTAAAGAACAACTGTAGTTGCAGTAATCGTTAAGACATATATGAACACAAAATGTGCACAACATTTGCTTTTGTTTTTTGAAATGATGACAGTCAGTGGTGGAAAGTAACTTCAATAATTTACTGATGTATATACGTCGCTAAACTTTCGATGTATCATTCAGTTATCTGACAGCTATAGTTACTTTTATACAGAGTTTATATTAAAAACAATTAACAGGATTATAAAATACAGTTGGTTGCTAAACATTAAAGCAGTGGCTCCAAACATTGTGGGTGTCTATTTGGGCTCCATTACTTGACATTTCGCTCTCTCAGCTACTAAGGTGGTTTCTTTGAATTAACTGTTCAAGATCTAAAGAGATCGAATAAAACAATATTTCACAGGAAAATAGCAAAACATGAAGCCACTTTAGTTATTGTGTACAACCCCTCAACTTATCTCGTGACCATTTGGAAGGGTAAGAAACACTGATCTACTTAAGTGTATGGAAAGTACAGCTCGACCAGCCATGGCATTTACATATGGTTTAAGGTTTGATGCAACAGCACTAACAATCTAATAATGCTATTAAGTATCTAACGAGGTAAAGTGTATTTAAGTTTCAAATCAAACTAAGTATTTCCATTACATTTAATAATTATAACTAATGAGTAAGGACTTAAATATGAGGGGAAAAAACAGCCTTATCTATTTTAGTGTATATAAGACTCAATTTCAATTCACATCTGAATAAATCCTATGAGTGCACAGTTTCTTTCTTTTTCATTTTGACCATGTTTGTGCTGCCTTCCTTTGCTGGGATTGTAAAGGACTATGCCTCAGCTCCTGTTGATTTCAATGTGCTCTAAAAATAAATCTGACTCTGGCTCGATCATGTGAACACTGACAGTATGAAGCTGATTTTCAGGACTTTTATAGTACAGCAACAGTGCAGTCAACATCATTTCATTGCACTGGTAATGTTTTTATCCTAAAGTATTACTTCATCTCACCATGTACAATGTACAGCACAAGACCTTTCTTTATAATGCTGCTTTTCAAGCTGATCTAAATTAACCTAAGACCAGATAGAAAATAGAATAAAAATGTCCAAAATCAAATGTTTATCATTCCTCTGGTTGGCTTTAAGCTGCATTTTTGTGAAGAAGATATGGTGAATATTGCTGTTAAAATTAATTTAGCATGTGCTACTTAGAGTTGCCTGAATAATGATGATGAAGTAGATGGAGGCAGAGAAATTCAGATTTACATCCTTTTTCTACAGTGTCGATTTCTACAGTTAGATTTTTTATAATTTTAGTAAATTATATTAAGTAAAATAAATGTAAATTGACTTTTATTTATAGTTAAATATTGTTCCAACTTGCTTGAATATTTTTATTTATAGTAACTAAATGATGTGAGTACTTCCTCCACCACTGGCTAAAGCAGAATGTGGGAACATGCATGCTTCATAGGCATTTAGTGAAGAAGGTCTCTTAACAGACAGGTATTTCACTGGAGACTTTCAAAGCTTCAAAGTGTACTGTGCCCAGGGCTGCCACAGGAAAAGTAAATCCGTGACATTTCACAGAAGAAATAGCCTATAGGGAATATCCCTTGATCCGAGGCAGGCAAATGCAAATCTGTAACAACCTCTGAGGAGTAGAGGTGCACAGGGACAGTGTCACACATGAAGAAAAGCACAAAGGCCAATGGCAGGAACCTGTACCTCCTGTTTGTGCCGAGGAGTGGCCTCCTGGTCCAACTGAGAGAGCTGAGTTAGGGCAGGAGTGCGGGCGACAGAGGGGTCAGAGGTGACGAGTGCAGGGTTTAGAGAGTGCAGGAAGGAGGTCAGGTGCAGAGACAGGATGGTAGAAGATGAGTCAGTCAGGGAGGCAGACAGACAGACAGACAGACTGCAAGGCTACATTTGGCCGTTTCACATCATGCCAAGACAACTTTGGAAATGGTCTGAAAATACATCCCAGTAGACATTTTGGACTTAATGAATGTAAACAACCTTTGTTCTAGTTGAGGCTTCTGTTTGTAATCTTAATCCATTTCTAAGGCTTTGTAAAGATGTCCCCTTTTTTTTGATCAGTGCTTCACTTTAACCCTTTCCCCCACTGTGCTAATCGCGCTGTCTGTCAAATGTTTGCTGGGATGCTCAGCCATGACAAATGAGTCCAGGCACAACCTTCACAGTATCACTTGTTTATGTGGTGCGGTGCATCACAGCTTTTGACAGCCACGAGTAAACGGGACAAACCCAGTGGAGAGAGTGAGAAACAATTAGACAGACAAACAGACACGATAGAGTCCAAATCACCAGACACCAAATACCTCCTGTTTACTGTCAGCTGGTGACCCAGCCTCCTCCTTATGGCCAGCAAGAGTTGAAAAAAATCAAATAAGAAATAGCATGTTAGCAACCGAGGGCTAGGCTGTAGTCTGCAACTCTCAGCATAATGAGAAAGGGTTAAAGACTGTAAAGCTGTTAGCAGGATTTATGAGCAGTGCAGTGTAAGCATATAAGCCTGAGTGAATAGGAGTGAAAGGAGAAGAGTTAGTAAACGCTAAATCCACCAAAGCCACCACAGCGTTATGCCCGTGTTGGATAAGCTTGGCCTATAGAAGCTTGCACTGCACCTGTTTGCATCAGCACCCCTGCAATCCGAGATTTCCCTGCACCAAGTTTGGAGTTCTCTTCAAGTTACTGAAGCTCTTTATACTTTTTTATAAAGTTTAGCAAAGTGGAAATCCCAAAAAAGTCACACTCTGTCAGGAAATCTTTACTACCATGATCTCTTTCTTTCGGCTTGGACTGATGTTGCCATCAACGTCTTTGTCCTGCTCAGACTCTGTGCCCTGGTCAAGGTCCTTGTCGTCCTCGTCCTGCTCCAAGCTGGGCTCCAGCTCGGTCTCCTGCTCGTCCATGGAGGGGCTGTGGAGGCGCCGCTGCTCACTGGCGCTGCGGTGGGACAGGCCGTCGTGGTTCTCACACATGGCTGAGACTGGCCGTGAGAACTCTGTGAGTAAGAAGAGGTGAGTTCATTTGATTTGGGGTTAGAGTTTGACTGATTTTGGGAAGTACACTCATTGTCTGTCATGTTGAGAAAAAGGTGGGATATTGAAATTACTCTCATATCTGTCTCTGGAATAAGAAGCTTCAGACGGTTATAGCTTAGCATAGATGCTGGTGGCAGTGGAGATGGTGTCAAATTGGAAAAGCATGGCTCAATCCAAAACCACAAACCAAACTGTAAAAATGTATGTGCAGGACTATCAACTGCGACTTCCTACACCACAAAAACCACAACCTGTATTTTTCCACTTTAGTTTTTGCATCTTAATCAAAGGACATATGACATGTAAACTTGTGAGCTTTGCTGGTAGGTGAAAGTTTTTACCTTTGGCCAGACTTAAACCAGCTGTTTCCAATATCTAGTCTTTCTGCTAAGCTAAGCTAACCAAAACTCTGCAAGAAAGCAGTGAAGCAAAAATGTGTATTTCCCTCAATGTTCATCTTGTCTTTTATTGTCCTTATAGGGTTGCTGCACTGGGCTTGAAAACAAGTACAATCTTAAGACCATCCATGCGCAGATCGATTGGATGCACCACTCACCTCCGTCCAAGCTCCTGGACAGCAGGTACCTCTTGCTGGCGGAGCGTTCAAAGTGTGGAGCAGGCCGGTCGATGAGCGAGCTGGCCTGTCTGGTTTGAGCCTGTGTCCTTCCACTGTATCTGAACTTTGAACCCATCACCAAGAATCCCTTAGGGGGTGGCTCTGGAGATACCAGCCTGTAGAAACAACAATGGCAATGGTGGGACATTCTTGACCACATACTCTATCATACTATTTACACCATATAGCAAAAAGCAGCAGGGTGAACACAGCGATTTAAAATATTTTCAAACGTTCTTTATTGACAGTGGATTTCAAGCTAACTTCTGCAGATACATTTCCCATGCGGTTTTTTCTACGCTCAAAAAATATTTTTGACAAGCTTTTTCTTCACTTTATGATCAGATGTGTGGTTTAGAAGAGATATGTTCATCATTATTTTTTTAAAGATTAATAGTCTATTATGATTTTTGCAATCACCAAAATAGAAATCTAATTGACATGGAGAGGTGAGATAAAAACAACAACAACTAGAAGAAAATGAAATAAAAAAAACAATGAGGGACCAACACAAAAAAAGACTAAATGTCCACAATTATATTTTTTTCTGTTTATTTTACATTTGAACAAGTGATCACCATTTATGTCAATTGTATTGGATTTGGCTGCAACACTACCCCTGAAACTCCAAAGTGATCTGTGGATTCAAACACTTCACCCACCCCTCCATCACCATAACGGTGAGTAGATAATGATTGAATTTAAATTTTGGGCTGAACTATCCCTTAAACCACTTCATCTATGCGAGTGATGCTGGCTCCATTTTTTTTCACACTCATCACCTTATCGTCATATAACAAAGTCAAGGTTGCCATGAAAGAAACATGCACTGCAAAAAGACTATCGCATTTTTCACAGAGCACTGTACAATGAAGATGAGTGTGGTTGCACCTGTTGAAGCTGTATGAATGGAAAATGTTTCCTTTGCCTTGATACTCATTGAACACGAAACCCTCCAACCAAGAGGGCAGATCGATTCTTACCGGAAGAAAGTGTGATGCTCAATGCAGACCTTCCACAGCCTCTTGGCAGCTCTGTGGTGGGGAAGCTTAAAACCGATTGTACTTTCAAACTGCTCGTACTGGAGGGGAGAGAGGGAACAAGGAGACAGAGAGAAAGCTGAGAAAGTGTGTGTGTGTGTGTGTGTGTGTGTGT